TTTACTATGTGTACTTGAAACTAACTATTTAAAAATCAATTTTATGTTGTATATTTTTTGACAGGTAAAGCTATTAATATGATTTATTGCAGCATGTTACAAAGCAGTATATATTGAAAACATTTTAAAATAAATGCATGTTTACTCACATATATACATATACGTGTGTGTGTGTGCATATGTGCACATACATGGAGAATTAAGCTAAAGGGGGAAAGAATATATTTATGTATGTGTGTATATGTCTGTAGATGTATAGAGATATAGATGAAAGGTTTCTTTACTGTAGTTTTCTCTTGGTGGTTTTCTGTATGTATATATGTATCTATATATACATGTATGTGCTTATATAATATTAAATTGCTGGATATTGACTATAGTTATTCCATTACCTCCAGAAAGAGTCATTGGGAACACTCATAGGACTTACAAGTTACACAATAAGAGGAAAAGAGCAACTGTAATTTTAGCAGTTCTTTTGTGTTTTGCTTCCTCGCATTTGAATGGTTGGCCATCATAGCCAGCCAGCCACAACTTTTTTTACTCTTTTTCCTAGCCACATCCCCCGCCCCCCCACCCCCTGCTTTTTTCCCTTAATGCAGCTCTGGGCTAAACTACTGGGCTTCAGAGAAATCCTAGTGGATTATCTCATTTGTGCTTTATATCAATACTTCTCACATAGCACAGTTTTGGAGAGGCTGAACTGCAAACATTAAGTGAGAATAGGAAGAAATAAAGAGAGGTAAACCTCTCCTTAAAGCCTCTCCCCTGTCCCCAAAGTCTCTCTCCCCGTCCCCGCCCCCAGCCAATAAAAAGCACACTGATCTCAGCTTGCTCATATAGTTTAAGTTCTGACTGTCTAGCATAGGAGTTGGCAATCTACAACTCATGAGGCCAGGTCTGTTTTACTGAAACATAGCCACATTCATTTAGTTATGTATTTTCTACTATTGCTTTCTTGGTTACAACAGAGTTGAGGTTACAACAGAAAAAGAGAGTTTATGGCATAAAATACTTACTGTCTGGGCCTTTTTTAATTAAAAAGTTTGTATACTCCTAATCTAGCATGTAAGGAAGAAACCAGGGACTTCTTATTTCATTACCAGGGGAACTTTACCCTAATATTTCAAGTTAGAGTTCCTCATAGGAACATTGTAGCACATGAGGATTACATAGTATTTCATGTCTAAGATGGCCCTGAATACTATTTTTGAATTGGTCTAGGAAGTAACATAGTTTCTGGGAGGAAACATGTTCTGTCTTTCAGGAAATATATTATGAAGAAACTTTGAAATTCTTCCATATTACAATTCTAGTTGGGTGTTCCTGGTAATTAATTATATAAAAGAGAAAGGGGTAAAGAGGGCAAAGAAGAAGAAAGGCTGATTCATTTTGATTTGGATTGACAACAACACCTGCATTGTATGTTAGGTTCATTATATGTCATTATTCATCAGGCAAAGATTTGACCCAATATTGGCTTCTCACCATCTGTCAGTTTTCATATTGTGTGCATAGGGGTTTTTGTTGTTGTTGTTTATCAGTTTTCTTCCATTTGTATGTAAGGTCCAGTAAGGAACGATCTGTCTTGCTCATTGATGTATTTTCCCAGTACCTAAAACAGTACCTGACCATATAGGTGTTCAATTAATGTTTCTGAATGAATGAACTCAGACTCGAGATTTTATTTTTGTCACAAAATTGTGGCTTTTCAAAAATGTCTGCAATCAGTTTGTACTTAGAAAATAGGCAATAATTAGAAATATGCAAGCCTTTGTGAAGAATATATCTTCAGACTAATCATCTTAACTATTAGTCCTATCACATTGCATAGTAGTAACTGTGTCCTCACGTTAGCGAAACTGTTTGATGCCTGACAATTTAATTATAAATTGATGTAAAATGGTTAGGTTATATATTTCCATTAGGTAGATTTCACACTGGCTTTATAGATCCTTAACTCTGGTTTTGCAAACTACTGTAGGTTCTGAATTACTGTAAGGGTTGTTATAAAAATTGTATTAAGTTCGCAAGTATAGTTAAATCATTTAAAAATCATTGGCTTACTCATAATTTTTCTTCCTCAGTGTCTCCAAACAGATACCATTTATAACAAAAAGATATTACTGAGTACTAGCAGTGATCTATTCATGGTCCCTTGCAGTTTTTTTAATGAGCTCTGATCCCACCCAATGGTGAGCTGTTTTCATTCCATATTTAAGACAACCTAAAAGAGTCACTAATTTTAAAGTCATATGCTAAACCATTTAAAAGTAGATAGAATTTCATTGGAGTTTAAAAAAAATGCGAAATTTGTAGGAAATGCTCTGAAATCAAATGAATGATCTGAGTATGTAGTAATTTCAAAGTGATTGGAAATAACTGGGTTATGTAATATGCTTAGTGGTTTGACACTAGCCAATTTATGGTTGTCACGGCTTACACTGAGTATAATAGAATGGCGGAATGTAGGCAGATGCAAGGTAAATTTATAGAACAATGTGACCAGTTTCATTTGCTGAGGAAAAGACTGATTCAAAACAAATAGCCTCTTAGTTCTGTGTTAACATCTAAATATCTCAAAGGAAGGCATAATGGCTCTTAAACTAAAATACCCGTAATGTAACAGGTTTTTTTTCTTCTTTAGATTGTGCTTTTGTTTAAAGCAAGTAGGATGCTGAATATATTAATAGAAAAATAGCTTCAGGAATATTGACACTCTATTCCAGGGGTTGGCAGACTACCAACCGCAGGGCAATTTCTGGCTTTGGCCTGTTTTTGTAAAACAAGTGAGCTAAGAATGGTTTTTACATTTTAAAAGCTTTTTTTTTTTTCTTTCAGTATTTTTTTTTTTGAAATAATCTCACACAGGTCATTAATCACTGCATAGTGCCGTGTTATATAGATGAGCCTTTTTTAAAAAAAATTATTTATTTATACCTGCTGCATTGAGTCTTAGTTGCAGCACGTGGGATCTTCATCGCATGCAGGCTTCAGGCTTCCCTGTAGTTGTGGCGTGCGGGCTGTAGAGTCCGTGGGCTCTCTAGTTGTGGTGTGCGGGCTCTTCGTTGCGGTGCATGGTCTTCTATCTAGTTGCGGTGCACAGGGCTCTCTACTTGTGGTGCATGGGCTCTAGAGTGTGCAGGCTTAGTTGCCCTGTGGCATCTTAGTTCCCCAGGGAACCCAGGGACCAGGGATCGAACCCATGTCCCCTGCATTGGAAGGCGGATTCTTAACCACTAGACCACCAGGGAAGTCCCTCTTTCAGTATTTTAAAGATGTTGCTTCACTGTCTTCTCATTTGCCTGTTTTCCACGAGAAATTTGTCATTCTTCTTATTCCTCTGTATGTAACTTGTCTTTTTTTATCTGGTGGCTTTTAAGACTTTTCTCTACCAGTGGTTTTGAGCAATTTGATTATGATGTGCCTTGGTCTAGTTTTGGTCCTGTTTCTTGTGCTTGGGGTTGATTGAGCTTCTTGGATTTATTGGCTTATTTTGATCAAATTTGGAAAGTTTTCATCTATTATTTCCTCAATTCTTCTATCGCCTAATTTTTTCCTTTGAGGACTCCAGTTACACATATTGTAATTGTGTTAGGCTGCTTGAAGCTCCGTAGTTCACTGATAGTCTTTTCATTTATTTTTTGTTCCCTTTGTGTTACATTTTGGTTAGTTTTTATTGCTTTGTCTTCAAATTCACAATTCTTACTTTCTATAAAAGCCGTTATGCTTTTATTCCCATCCAGTATATTTACATCTGAGACATTGTAGTTTTCATCTCCAGAAATTCAATTTGAGTGCTTTTTACACTTTTCATGCCTCTCCCTAAGTTTTTGAACATATAGAATACAGTTATAAAAACTGTTTTAATGTCCTTTTCTGCTGATTCTAACAGTTCAGTTTTGGGTCATTTTCAGTTGATTAATTTTTCTGCTTACTATGAGTCATAGTATGACTTTGCTTCTTTGTATGTCTGATGATATTTGGATGCTAATCATTGTAAATTTTGCTTCATTAGGTGTTCCCTATTTTTTCTGTTCTTATGATTCTTCTTGAGCTTTGGTCTGAGACACATTTTAGTCACTTGGAAACAGTTTAATTCTTTCAAGTCTTGCTTTGGAGATTTGTTAGGTGGGATCAAAGAAATGTTTAGTCTATATCTGATTGTTCCCCACCACTAAGCCAAGACTTTTCTGAATACTGTAACCAATGCCCCATGCACTATTAAGGTTTTCAATATGGACATTAGGAACAAGCACTGCTCCCTGCCCTGTGTGAACACAAGGTACTCATCCCTTTAATTCTTTCGAGTGGTAATTTCCTCACAAACATGCACCAATCATTGCTATATTGACTACGTAAGGGATCCCTTTGCAGGTGTCCAGCGTTCTCTCTCTGTGCAGTGCTCTCTTCTGTAACACTTTTTGGTCTACTGGGACTCTGAGCTCTGTCTCTTCAACTCAGACAGTTTGTCTGGGTTTCTCCTCTCAGCACCAAGGCCTGGAAACTCTCTAAAGACAGTAAGCTGGGGCAGTTGTAGAGCATGCTTGTTTATTTCTCATTTCTCAGGGATTATTTTTCTTTACTTCTTGATGTCCAGTGTCTTGAACTATCATTTTGTATGTTTTGTTCAGTTTTTTGGTTGATTCAAATAGGACAGTATTTTTGGTGCCTGTTACTATTGTGTCAGTACATTGTGGCCAGAAGTGAAAGTTGTGCTTGGGGTTGGGGTTGAAATTTAAGAATGAGTGGTTGAATAATTCCAGGTGATGATACACAGAGTTGCACCATAGGTATAAGTGGAGTAGAGATGTGAAGGTCATTCAGTGAGTCATCCACATGGACTTTGAAGTCTCCTAAGTAGATAGATTTCAGAGAGAGTGTAAGACTTTAAAGAAGCCAAGAGCCAAAGTTGTGAAGTTTTAATACTACACGGTTTGTGTGTTTGGTTAAGAAAATACTCTTTTAAAATTATGTTAAATTTCTTTTGTCTGTTCTAGAACCTTCTGATAACTTAAGGGAGATTCTCCAAAATGTGGCCAAATTGCAAGGAGTATCAAATATGAGAAAGCTAGGCCATCTGAATAACTTTACTAAGGTAAGTAACTTCATTCTTTGTATTACCATCTTAAATTCTTTTTTCCTTATTGTACTTTTTAGATGCTTCTTAACCACCATTAACAAGAAATTCTTGAGTATTCCTTCAGTATTAGTGCTTTCCTCTGCTGCTTCTCATGGATTTTTGTCATATGTTTTTAAATTTAAAAGTATATTTGAATAATGGGAAGCATTATATACTTGTAAAAAATTTGGTAGGTTCAGAAGCGAATAAAGTAAAAAAAAACACTGAGAAGTCCATAATTCAATCTCCACTATTATTCACAGAATGATGTATTTCTTTTGCCTTTTTATATTCATTTTTATGTGATACTATAGGATAAGTATGTTTGTACATAAGTACGTGTGTGTTGCTTTTCATAGGTGTAATAATTTCCAGAGAAGTATTACAACTTCCTCTCTCTTTCCCTAATACTCTATTCCCATTATCTGGATCTCAATTAGAGCTCAAGATAAATGTAGGGGCCCTTGTCCCAGATAAATATTGACTTGATCTCTGTCAGCAGCCAAGAATTCCCAAGTTTGATAGATGGATTGGTGTGCTTTTGAGCCTGGTAACGCTGGACAGCCAACTCTTGGAAACACTAAAATGCCGTTATTTGAGGTGATGCCATAAATAGAGAGCAAAATGCCTTCTTTGGGAAAATTTGTTTCCCTTTTTAGTTTACTAAATATAAACTGTTATACATTTTATTTTATTTTTTTATTTTTAAAATTTTGTTGAAGTAGAGTTGATTTATAATGTCATGTTTCAGGTGTGCAGCACAGTGGTTCAGATTACATATATATGCATACACATATATATGTATTCTTTTTCAGATTCTTTTCCCTTATAGGCTATTACAAAATACTGAGTATAGTTCCCTGTTGTACATTTTAAATGTAGGAATAATTGTTTGTTATAACCCCTTACTACTCAAAGTGTGATCCATATACCAGCAGCATTGGTGTCACCTTGGAGCTTGTTTGACATGTACAGTTTTTGACCCCACCCCAGACCTACTGAGCGAGAATCTACATTTTAATGAATATCTCAGGTGAATTTGGGTGTACATTAAAGTTTGAGCGGCACTGTTTTAATCCTTCCAAAATGTTTAATTCTCTGCTACCTGGTAGTTAGACTGTGGCTTGGATTTGATTTTATTTCATAGAAATAGAAGGGGATAAGAATATAGTCACTATGTAACCAAGTTGTTTTTTTCAGTATGGTGTTGTGTGATAAATATTTACAAAATAGATTAGTTTTTTTTCTTTTCATAGTTAGGGAAACATAGATATACATTTATTTTTTCTTAGTGAAACTTTGAAATATTCTGGCATTTTATTTTTATATAACAGATGAGAAAATTATTTTGTATGAGGGATGACAAAGTGATTTTTTTAAAAACAACTTTCAAAAACACTGAATGAGTGCTTGTGAAGGGGTTTTCAAAAATATCCCTGTGACGCAGACCTACTAGAGAGTGGACTTGAGGATACAGGGAGGGGGGAAGGGGAAGCTGTGACAAAGTGAGAGAGTGCCATGGACATATATACACTACCAAACGTAAAATAGATAGCTAGTGGGAAGCAGCCTCATAGCACAGGGAGATCAGCTCGGTGGTTTGTGACCACCTAGAGGGGTGGAATAGGGAGGGTGGGAGGGAGGGAGACGCAAGAGGGAAGAGATATGGGAACACATGTATATGTATAACTGATTCACTTTGTTATAAAGCAGAAACTAACACCATTGTAAAGCAATTATACTCCAATAAAGATGTTTAAAAAAATATCCCTGTGTATATTTTCATTTTTATCAATGTAATGCAAGTCTTCAAATAATTTCTTCAGTGTGCTAGTCAGATAATACCAAGTTTTTAAGACCTAGAGTTGTTCCACAGTTGCAAATGGCATCTCCTGGTTTCACTCCCTCTATTAAATTTCCCAGTTTTATGTCATCATTCTTCACCCAACCCTAATAATAATACGTCTTACCACTTGCCTAGATTTAACTGTTAAAAACAATTAGTAGAGGTTTTTGTCCTGTTTGAACTCATGGTTCCTGTCACAGTCAGGTTGAGATCTAGATATGTAGTTCCGAATCTCTTGACAACTGGGATTCTGAAAGTTGGGAATGAATGTAAGAATGGCAATGATTTCTGTTATTCCACTTTGGCACCAGAATGGGTACTAAAGCAATCTTAAAAATCTACAGTAGCACTATGCAGTAGACATATATGTGAGCCACATATGTAATTTTAAATTTCTAGTAGCCACACTAAAAGTAAAAGTGAAGTTATTTTTAATATATATTTTCTTTAGTCCAGTATATCCACATTATTATCATTTTATGTAAGTATAAAATATTAATGAGATATTTAATATTTTTTCATGCTAAATCTTTGAAATCAAGTGTGTATGTTATGCTTATAGCACATCTCAATTCAGGCTAGCCATATTTCCATGTTCACAGCCACCTGTGTGTGGCTAGTAACTACTAACCATAATGGACATTGTACCTACAGAACTTTTTGGAATGGGAGTGGTTTAAACATCTATTTCTAGGAATCTGTTGCACACCTTTCTTTTTCCCTTGTCTATTCTCCATTTATTTCTGTCTAGATCCCAGTTTCTCTAGGGTTAAGGTCAGTTGCCTTCTCTCCCTTTTTCCCTGCTCCATTTCTTTGTTTTTTTGAGTTTTTCCCATAGTATTTCACTAAGTTGTTCCCTCCACTTGGTCTCTCCTTGATTTGTGTTCTCCCAGTCTCTTCTCCCGTTTCTCCTTCCCTCCACTTTCCTCCTCCCCTTTTTTGTTTTGCCATATCCTTTGTTTACAGTTTTCATATTTCTCTCTGAAAAGGGCTTGTAGCAGCCCTCTTATATGCTGTTTTAAATTATTTATGGATTTAAAAATCAGATAAACATACTTACTGGAATTTTTCTACAGTATGAGGGACTAAACCTTGGGTCAGGGTGTGAGGGGCTGTTCAATTAGGAAAATCCATGAACATGAGACTTGATAAAAACTCACTTGGCTGCCTGGTGATACAGTGAGGAAAGCATGAACTTCAGATCAAGTAAATGGGGTCTTACAGCCCAGCTCTGACCCTAACAAGGCAGTCTTGGGCAGATTTCTTTACTCAGAGATAATTTTGCTGCAATTAGAAGCAAGGTGTCAGTACAGTGCCGGTACATCATATATACTCCATAACAGGTAATGCCTTACAATCTAGGGTTTGTTTTTTGTTTTCTTTTGCATTTTTTGCCACTTTTCAGGAATTTTTGTTGACGCTAAAAAGGTGAGTCTGCTTAATAGCTTGAGTTGCAGGTTGGTAAGCTGTTACTGTAACAGGGTTTTTCAACATGAGCAACGTTGACATATTGGGCCAGATAATTATTTGTTTTGGGAAGCTGTCTTGTTCATTGTAGTGTGTTTAGCTGCATCCCTGGCCTCTACCCACTAGATACCAGTAGCGCACCTCCACTAGTTGTCACAAGCAGAAATGTCTCAAAGCATTGCCGAATGTTTCCTAGGGGACAGAGTCATCCCCTAGGTGATAAATAAAGGTCTGTAGGTTTTATTATAAAATTTCTCCAAACACCTAGCACAAAATAAATGCTTATTGAATTTAATCATAATACAATGTGTCTGAATTCCATTTTGTTAGCGAGCTACGTTAATAAATATTTACAGAGCTGGTATTCTTTTAAAATCTGTAAGTTCGTTAATTTACAGAGTAAAATTTATAAATTCTTAGAAATCTCTAAGAATAGCTCTATAGAATAAGAAAATAAGAAACAGGATTATGATTCCAGGAGACTGGTTAGACAGGAGTTAGTTGGTCACCCTTCACTGTTCCTATAATAGGTTATATGTGTGTCTACTAAATTTTATCTGCTCTTTTGTTATCATTATTATTTATTGTGTGTGACTATCTTATTAAACTGAGTTTATTAAATACAAGAAATATGTAGTAGTTAATTTTTTACTCTTATATCCCTCTCTTCCCCAAATCCTGGCACATATCAAGTGTTTAATTAAAGGTATTGTATTACATTGGGATGATTTTGCAGTTTAAATAAGAGTTTTTGTTGTACTAGCATTTGTTTTGTTATTAAGTAACAAAACAAACTAGGATTAAGTTAATTTAGTAGATCAGTGGGGCTAAAATGTTGTAGAGGGTGGCCTTTATCTACAGAATTTAACCTCCTTTTAAGGTATGAAGAGAGGGTGCTAGTGTTGTGATCCTAGAACCATGTGAATGTCACACACCCATGCTTGCCTTCTGACATCATTTCACTAGATAAAGTAATGTGTATAACAGGCTGCTGATGAATATAATCTTAGTATTCTATTTTTAAAACTGACAACATGCTCATAATCTAAAGACCTGTTTTTAAAGATGAAAATATTTTAGCTCTTTTACATTTTAATGTTCTCTTTTCCTATATTTCTCATATATTAAAAGCTCCAGAGGAATCTTTATTTTGTTCTGTTTTTAAAAACTTCAAAATTATGTAAGTTAAATATAAAAATTTAAATGGTACTAAACAATATATGGTAAAAAGTGAAATTCCTCTTTCACATCTCCTTCCCATCCACCTCCTTACCCTGACAAAAATACTGTTTCTCACAGGTAACCACTAGAAAGTATTTATTCTTCTGTGGTATAATTATAAATATGTGTGTGTGTGTGTGTGTGTGTGTGTGTATTTCAGTGAGTTGTGAGAAATAAGCTAAACAAAACGAAGTGTCTAATATAATGCTCAGTTTATTTACCATTTATTATATGTATACATAAAGGTTTTTTTCAATGAGATCTTGAGATTTATTGATTTGTAGTTTGTGTCTTTTCCACTTTCCAATATATCATAGAGTCCTTTATTTTCTATAAATGTAGATCTACTTTTTAGTAGCTGCTTATGTGTGTTGATAGATGTATGTGTGTGTGCATATCCATCCGTATGTATGTATATGTATGTGCATCCAAGTATACATAC